TGGATTTATAAACTTTTTTTCAATCTGCGCATGCTCACCAGTACGTTTCGGTACGGTTGAACTGGAAAACTGGCTTTAGAGACGGGTGCAGACTAACGGGGGGAGTTACCAAATCCTAATTTTAGTGTCCAAAGGAAGAATTATTTATAAAAATCATGAATATCTATAATTCTGCTTAAGAAGTTTATAATGGTTAAGAATTTGGAACATTGACATTTGTGATTTTCTTGTTAATTTTGATTCTTTTGTTCACCATAAAATATATCCATGGAGCTTTAAATAATGGTTCCATCCAATAACGATCCAGTTATCAGAATGTTCCGTTGTCTCACTATTGGGGGCTGTTTATACGAGGCGAGCCAGTCCGATTAGACGAGTTAGCCTGGTTGAAATGAGATCCCGCCTTTGTTATTATTTCTCACTAAATTTCGTTTTGCGTTTATATGGGAACCGAGCTGGGCCACCTAAACCAGCTGGACTCGTCTCATGTAAAAGTATCGTGTAAACACGAGATCAAATTGGTTTATGAAGCAAAGCGAGCTAGCTCCGGTACCTGAGATGGCTCGCCTTGATATAAACAGCTTGGATGGTATTTCGAAAAAAGAATGGTACCATTCAAAATGAAAAGTTCGTCACAAGTCAACTTTTTGGCGTACTACGGAAGTATTAACCAATCAACATTCACTAAACGTTTTTGATACGTTTCGGTACGGTTGAAGAGGAAAACTGGCTTTAGGCTACGTCCGTTTTCGTGGGGTTTTCGTATTGTACTTCGTTTACATGCATGTAGATTGTAGACGCAAGTCGACCTCGTATAAATTCACTTCCGCAAATTCCTTACTCCTCAAGAAATTACTTCCTTTAAAATTCCTTCGTTCTAAACAAAGATGAAGGACTTTGCGAAAGTCTAACATGCATGGAACAAAGAATAATGGACTAATTACCTGAAATAATACAAAAACGTATTATTGTGGACGTAGCCTTAAGGCCCATTTACACGGGCGATTTTTGCTGCGTCTTCAGTTGCGATTTTCTCCTTTTGGAGGATGTGAAGGAGTAGATCAGTTATAAATGTTCCAGGTTATGAAGTCTCATAACAACATCATTCAGTAATCTACTTCTTCACATCCTCCAAAAGGAGAAAATCGCAACTAAAATCGCAGCAAAAATCGCCCGTGTAAACGGCCCTTTAGGATTTGATAACTCAACCCACCTCCCCACACCCCTTAGTATGCCCCCCCCCCCCCCCCCCCCCCCTC